ATTATACACTAATTTTAAAATAGGAAAATCATTATTAATTAGCCTTCCCAAAGCCATCTATGATCTAACCACCCCTCTCCTTTGTTTCCACTCTAACTTCTACTCCTCTACCCTTGCTGATTTTGTTCCAGCTACATTGGCTGCCTTGCTGTCCTTCAATCAACCCAGGTACCTGGGCCTTGTTATTTGCTGTGACTCCTGCCTATAGTATATTTCTTTTAGATCTAAATGTCCATGTGACACCCTCTTTCCTTTAGACCTTTGCTTACTGTGGTTTACAGTATTTAAAATTTTACCCCTGTCCCCACCTTCTACCAGCATTCCCTGCACTCCCTCCATAGCACTCACCACTTTGTGACAAATGATATACACTCTGTGTCACCTAAGGATGGGAAAATATGTCATTGGCAATTTCATTGATAAGCAAACATGCTACACTTTACTTACACAAACAGAGAGTATAACCTGCTACTCACCTAGGCTATATAGTATACCCCGTTAACTCCTAGGCTACAAACCTGTACAGCATGTTACTGTATTGAATACTGCAGGCAACTATAATGCAATGGTAAGTATTTGTATACCTAAACATATCTAAGCATAGAAAAGGTACAATTAGAAAGGATTAAAAGGTACAGTACAAAGGATAAAATGTGGTGCACCTGTATAGGATACTTACCACGAATGGAGTTGCAAGAGTGAAGTTGCTCTGAGTGAGTCAGTGAGCAAGTGATGAGTGAATATGAAGGCCTAGGACATTACACTACAGTAGACTTCATAATCGTTGTACACTTAGGCCATAGTAGGTCTACTTTTTTCTTTTTTCAGCAATGAATTAAGCCTAGCTTACTATAACTTTTTTGCTTTATGTAAACTTTTAATTTTTTTAACTTTCTGATTCTTTTGTAATAACAGTTTAAAACACACATTGTACAGCTGTCCAAATTTGTCTTTCTTTATATCCTTATTCTATAAGTTTTTCTCTATTAAAATTTTTTTTCTTCTTTTTAAACTTTTTTGTTAAAAACTAAGATACATGCACATTAGCCTAGGCCTATACAGGGTGTAGATTGTCAATATCATTGTCTTCCACATTCACATCTTGTCCACTGGAAGGTCTTTGGGGCAGTAACGCATATGGAGCTGTCATCTCTTATTATAATAATGCTTTCTTCTGGAATACCTTCTGAAGGACTTGCCTGGGGCTTATTTACTGTTAACTTTTTTTAAAAGTACATAGAAGGAGTACATCCTAAATAACAATTAAAATATAGTTTGCTAAATACTAGGTAATAGGAATTTTTCAGCTCCATTATAATCACATGAGACCACCATGGTATATAGTCATCGTTGACTGAAAAGTCCTTACGTAGCACATACTGTCTTTCCCTATGTGTGTGTTTGTTGTCTGTATTCCAACCCTACTAGAATGTAGGGCCCATTTAGGCAGAATTTTTTATCCAAAAAATAACAGTTATTTTCCCATCATTTGGAACAATGCATGACTCATAGAAGACGCTCAGTAAGAAATCATGGAATTAATGAATGTTAGCTTTAGCCTATTTAACACTATGCCTCAGCCAGCTATAAACGGTTATTAGTACATACTCATAGAAGCCTAGAGGTTATTGTGTGTGTGTATTTATGCATACATCTGTGTGTATGTAAGTAAATTAAGCCAGTCTTTGATTCTTATTGTAAGAGACTATTGTAAGTGCATATTATTCTTTCTGATTAAAAAATGTAATGCTATAGCAACAGTCTTTTGTGGGTATCTATTTTCATGGCCTAATTTCACTTAAAAAAATAGCCTCATTTCTCATCCCTCAGCTGTGAATGCTTTAAATGCTCACATATTTTTAGTAAAAAAAGTCAAAGATTAGTTAGTATTTCTAACCTATACCAGGTTTCCATGTTTTATTCCAAACCAAAAATAATGCAAATAAACTATATTTGTTGAGCAGATCAAACTGAAGCTTAACAATGGTGTTTACTATGACTGTGTTTGAATGTAGGTGTCCTTTATATGGTTGTTTTACAACAGTGTAAACTGAACTACTAATGTATTTTTGTTTTTGTTTTTTGTGAGAACTGTTGGGTATTCAAATCCCAAGGTTGCTGATTTGCCTCATATCTCTTTATTGTTTTCCACATTGATCCATTGGTGTGGGACATATGAGGTCTGTTTTCATTCTGGGGAAAAGCCCTGGAGACTGTATACGTTGAGGAGCAGATATTGTCTGCACAATGAATGGAATAACGAGCTACTGTTGTTTATTCTTCTGTAAGATAATTGATTGAATTCAGACAATAATGTAGCATCTGTTGTTATACTGTGCAGGGAAATGTCAAAACAGAAAGCAAGCAGACAGGTGGATTAAAGGGAGAGAAGGAGGGAAAACCAAGAAATATCACATTAGCTTCTGATTTAAAGTAGGTGAGAAGAAATAATCATAACAAAAATGATAACACCAACAACTGTCATCTGTTGATCACAGTATTATGTATTGCATGAGGATCAGTGCTCGGCAATTGTCACTGAGTGCCAACCAAGTGTCAGCACTTGCTAAGTGGGGTCAGGGACAGGGCCAAGATGGCCAATTGGAAACAGTGGTGATCAGAGGCTCCCATAAAAAGAATCATAATTAGCATGTGAATCCTGCACAAGCAACCAAGGTATCCAGGTTCTCTCATCAGAACTGACTAAGTAGCTGGTGTGATCCACGGGGAGGAAGTAAGAGTAGTGTGATGTGGTGGCCCACCTAAAACCATTCTGCGTCTTATAGAAGGATGCTGTGAGGAAGATGTTATTAGCTCTGTTTCTATGAGGAAACTGAAATTCATAAATACTGTCATTTGCCTAATTGCCAGGATTTAAATGCATATCTGTCATACTCCAAAACCTGTGTTTCTAACTATAACATTACATTTAATTAAAAATTTTAAAACTGGACTCAGTGTTAGAAGTCAGAATACTGACTTTAAGGGGCAGTAATTCCCAGGAAAGGGCATGCTTGATCAGGGTTCTAGTTTTAGAGATATGTTGACTTTAAAACTTTATCAAGTTGTACACTTAACATTTGTACACTTTTTCATATATACATTATACTTTAATAAAAACTTTAAAACAATTCCAAAATGCATGACTTTGAACAGAAAGGATAAAGCTTTATACAACACTGACTCAAATTTTGAAAAAAGTTTCAAATATATAAAATCTGCCTGAAAAAATAAGGAAAAGTATCTGAGTGATGAAAAAGTTTTGGAAATAAATAGTAGTGTTGATTGTACAACATTGTGTCAGATACCACACTGAAAATTTTTTACATATATTGTCTGTGTAATTCCCATCTCTGTAATCCCCTATAAGGTAGGTGGTTATTCAGTGCCTCCAGAAGGAAAGTATCCTCAGTCATAAGCGAGACTAGCTTTTTCTACACATTGTAGAAAGTTTGAATGATTAAAAAAAAATACTTCTGTGTTAGAACCAACCAAATTAACCTGCATGACACATAAATTACCTTAGTTCTTATCCATACTTGTGTCTGAGCAAACTTTTTCTGTTGGTTATTTTAAACATTTTGTAACATAATTTGTGTAGGTCAAAAATATAGAAAGGTATAATCGGAAAACACCCACTGTCACCTCTTCCACCTTGTTTCCTCTACCCCTGTAGAAATAATTTAGGGAAAAAAAGAAATGTGTAGCTAGTCGGCTAACAAATAAGCTGGTTCTTTGGTTCTCTTTGGAGAATCAAAAAAAAAAAATTTCTTTATACTTTTATTCTCAGCCTTTCTTCCACTTATTTTATTGTTTTTTTCCCCACTAGCTTTTAATTTGTTTTATTTCCAGACACTGATAATTCACTAGTTTTTTAAATCTAATTCTTAACTCACTTATTTTTATTATTTGATTTATAATGGCATAAGAATGTTAAGGCTATGAATTTCCTCAGGGCACTGCTTTCAATGAATCTCATAGATTGTAACATGAAATCTTTGTCAGGATGCTAGACAAAAAAGGTTTTAGTGATTTTTATGGATTCCAAGGTTGTCAGGGACCTCAGAGACAATCTCCTTTTAATGGAATGTCTCAAATGTGAAACAATGTAATATAATGCTAAAACCTGTAATACTCAAGCCCATGCTAGCCATGAGATCTTCCAACAATTTACCCCACCTGCTTAAGTCTGTATTTCATCTGTAAAATGAAGAGTTTGGTCCATCTTGTAGGTCCAGAAATGAATCACTAAGATTTGACCAAATCCCATAGTGAGTTAGTGGCAAAGCCAGAACTAGGACTGTGGTCTCCTTCTGCCAATAAGCCTGATATTTGAAGTTCTTTCCATTTTTTAAAATTTTTCTTTTATTGTGGCAATATATATATATACACAATAACTTGCTATTCTTAAGTACACAATTCAGTGGCAGTAATTGTATTCACAGTATTGTTCAGTCATCACCACTATTTCCAAAACATTTCATCACCCTAAACAATTTACCCATTCCATTTTGACATAAACATAATAATCCAGTATTTTACAAACTGTGCAGTTGTTTCTACTTGAAAAGCGTATTTCTCAAATATAAATATATCTGTGTGTGTGTGTGTGTGTGTATGTGTCTTTTCTGAATGCATCTAAAAGCTTTAATTCATACCCTAGAAAGATATCAATTGGGTATTTGATACGAATGTCTCTGATCACAAATATCTGAGCCCTTCAGTTTAAAAAAATGCTTTTTCTCTGTAGTTTACTATCAATTTAATAATATGTGTCATCAAGGTGGAATTTATTTTAATTAATTGCCTGTTGGGCTAATATTAAGAAAATGAAAAATACATGATTCTATTGTTCAAGCATTAGGCTTGTTTAATAAATGAGGCAGTGACTTTTCAATGAATTTCTGGAAAGCAGCAGCTTTTCTTCTGGTCTCTTTCTCTCCCACTCTCCATAGTCCAGTCCATCCCATATTTTAACACCTGGTTTTTGCTCTCCTTAGGCCATCCGGCTGTCCTTAGAGCAAGCCCTGCCTCCTGAGCCAAAAGAAGAAAATGCTGAGCCTGTGAGCAAACTGCGGATCCGGACCCCCAGTGGCGAGTTCTTGGAACGCCGTTTCCTGGCCAGCAGCAAGCTCCAGATTGTCTTTGATTTTGTAGCTTCCAAAGGATTTCCATGGGATGAGTACAAGTTACTGAGCACCTTTCCTAGGAGAGATGTAAGTTCCCATACTTATCTCAGGAAGCATATCCTGGCGGGAGATATGCCATTGTTAAAGCTGAACAAAGTGGTTCAAGAAAAGTCCCATGGTGCAGGCAACTCCAAGGCATCCCAGGAGTCCTTTGTTCTGCACGCCATTCTCTCCTTAGCTTTTGGAGAATGTATGGCTTCTCAGGCCAACAGACATATACCCAGTAACCTATGTAAGAAATTAGGTACTAGATCTTTTTTCCTAGCTGTTTTCCCTATTCCAGCATTCCAGTCTTTGCTGAGGTCTCATCTGTATTCCTCAAATGAGATATATTCTGTAGACCTCAGAATCTACCCAAGAATTGTATGTTTAACAGCTTAACGCTTAGATATCAGGATCAACGAATATAGGTTTACGAAGAATGAGTCATGCAAAACAAAGAGTATTTTGTGATTTGATAGTCTTACTAGCCTGGGAAGTCAGAGAGGGTGACCTATATTCACTGCGTGCTTGCATTTCAGCGCAATATTTGATAGTTTCTCATAGTATTCTGGGACAAAGTAGAGAGATGTAGATATGTTAGATTCATTGCTGATTAAATGATTGCGTCTAAAAAATGTTAACCACCATCTCCTTGTAGGGAACCAAAAGGCTCTGTTTTTAATCTTTTATTACTTATCTTATTTATTGGCAACCATTTAGAAGACTATCAGATTTATAGATAATGAAAAATAAGATTCAATAAAATCTTAAAATAGTGAAACTTACACAAAATGAAGCTGCAGAAATTTTACAGAAATATGTAGAAATAGTTTCCTTTAGTAGAGGTTATGGTTTAATTAAGCTGAATATATATAAATAACGTGTTGTGGCTCCCAAAAAAAAGGTAGCTCCCATTTAGAGGTGAAATCCCAACCAGAGGATAACATAATGGTCCTTTTTAACTCTGCACTAAGATAAACTACCCCGGGTGATGGGTGTACCAAAATCTCAGTAATCACCACTAAACAACTTACTCATGTAACCAAATACCACCTGTTCCCCAAAAACCTATGGAAATAAAAAAAATTTTTAAACTACCCCTAATACCCCTGAAAGAGTCTTTAGGCTTCATGCTGAAAAAGGAAGCCTGAAGAAATAGGAGCATGTCTGGAGCAGGGACAGTAGGAAGGTGAGGGAACTGAAAATCATATCATTTGAGCAACATTACCTCTAAATAAGTAAAGACCAGAGCATTTTCTAAGAAAGGAATATCTTGTGTTGTGAAGTGTTAATTTTCCTGTCATTGGAGATTACTGGGTACTACTCTTTTCAGCAGTAACAGATATATATGGAGAAGGATTCATTCCTGGTATTTCTGCTTTGTGTGGGATGGGACTTGGACTTGCTTAGCTCTGAAATATACAGTAAATCTTAATATTCTGTGATTTCATTATGCTAGGTTACTATACCTAATCTAGTCACCTAGTAGGTATAGTATAGTAACCTAGCATACCAAAACCCAGAATTTCATTAAAGCTCATCTAAGTCTCTCACGTTGGCTGTCAGGTTTGCAGCATAGAGACAGAAACTAGTGATATACCCTCTGGGTGGAAAGAGGATCTTGACTTATTTATTTCTAAGCCCAGGAGACTGTAGTGGATTCCCAGGTCCTGACTATTGTTCCTTTGCTCACTAGCCCTGCCTACTGCTCCAAGGTAATCCCCTTTATTTGTATATAAGGCACACAGGCATGCACAAGGGAACACATGCCTACATGTGTTCTTATCACACAGCCAAGTAAGAAAACTACCTTAACTTCTGTCACTGAAGTTGAACTGTCAGTGTGTGAACATTTAACAAAGAACCATTATCAGAGGGTTCAAGATCAGCCTGGTTCTCATGCTTTATGTTCTTTGATGAAAATCTCACCTCAGAGAACTTAAAAAACTTAGGAGCTAAGTTTGCCCTTGCCAATCCTTAGTTTTAAGTCACTCCCTTTCTGGGTGGGCCTCATTTTTTAAAATGGAGGTACTAGAAGAAATAGAGTCTAAGGACTTTCTGTCTTTTAAACTTAATTTTCTTTCAAATTAAATTTTAAAGCTTGTTACTGACAGGGATAGGGTAAAAATATCTTAAAAGAAGCTAGGCTTTTTGATCAATATTGAGAACAACTTTCCACAGGGTAAAACTGTGAACCGTGGAAAGTTGCTGTTGAAAGGAAGCAGGAGAAATGTGCTGCGAAACGCAGAGTGCCCTTGGGCCTGCTACTATCTCCCTGTGGTTGCCAGCGTGTGCCTCACACATCAGCATCAGTAACTGTTGTTGAATGTTAACAGCCTCTGGCTCCCCTAATCTCTGGTTCCAGAATGAACAGAGAGGCTGTTCCAAATAAAAACAGATGCTCTAGGCCCACCCAGATTCCAGACCTAAACTAAGAAAGCCCACCCAGGACTCTTTAGGCCTCCTAGAGCCAGGGGTGGGGTGAGAGTTAAAGACGCTTTATTCTTCTCTGAGTTATCTTTCAAGTCAAATGACTGGTGTTTTTGCAAGGCTATTCTGTAACAGCCATCTGTGTCTGCAAGGATTAGGATCTAATTTGTAAAAGTCATCTTAAATTACAGCCAAACTAAAGACTGTTAAAAAGCACATCTTAAGACCTTGCCTCTTTAATAACAAATAATATAAGCCTAACTTTAGGAGTCTTAATTGTGTCTTCAGCCTTTTCTCCACAAAGCAAAGACTGGTTTCTCAGCAGAGGACCTGCTAAGTGTTCTTCTGTACCTCCCGTGCCTGCTATCCACCCCCAACCAAAATAATACTTCATGTTAAGATTTACCAGCTGTCTAACCATTTACTAAATGTCTGCTGGGCATACTTCCATGAACTGAGCACTGTACAACAACCAGAATAGCAGCAGACTTAGGCCTTCCTCAGAAAAGCTGATTGTCAAGTTGTGGAAGCATTGAGTTACTTGATATTGAGGGTGCATGCGTGTGTGTGTGTGTGTGTGTGTGTGTGTGTGTGTGTTTCCCCTATTTTGCTAATAACAATTACTAAGAGAAGGAATAGTATTTATTGCCAGAGCTCTACCTCTTGGACATGTTAGAGCCATGTGAACATCAGTGGCCCATTTGCCTTACTTGGGCATTGTATTGGAAATGAAGTAGTTGAATCCTAAAAGCTGAGTAAGGGCACTCACCCACTACTCTTCCTATAGTCCAACTCCTGTCTCTGAGTTAGAGTAAGGGACTGCTGCCAGCCCCCCAGCTCCTCTCCGGACCAGCAGTGGCCCAGACATAGGCCCTTCCCAGAAAAGCTGATTATCCTCATATCCCTTGGTATGAGGTTGTCAGTATCCCCCAGCCTTCCTCTTCTGTGCCACTTCCTTATCTTCCCTTTTCTCCCCTCCCCACCTCTTCTTCCCATTCTCTTTTTTCCAGTCCTGTTTTACCACTTTTATCTTCTCCCCCATCTTTCCATTCTTCCCTTCTTCTTATTTCTTTATCCCACAACTCTTCTTCTCTCTGTTTTTTGTCTACCTATATCCACATCCCTCAGAGGAGCTCTGCCTACAATTGGAAAGTGAGGTCTTTCAATTCATAAAATTAAGAATTTCATTATGTCTCATCTAAGTCCATTTTTTGCCTACCCATATCCGCATTCTTCAAAGGAGCTCTACCTACAATTGGAAAATGAGGTCTTTCAGTTTATAAAATGACTGGAAAGCACTAGAAAAGGAGGATGAGGAATGACAGGTGAACTCCAAGTGTCCACTGATAGCCCATGTGTATTGCCAGTGATATAATCACACAACTCCTGTTCTAGCCTAGAGAACATGCCTTTTTCCAGATTTATAGATATGAATCCCCAAACAGACATGCATTCAGAAACAAACTATATTCTTTTATTTTATATGTAAAACAAAGTAATGAAGGAATTTGTATTTTGTCCCATCTTTCTGGGTTTCTTTCTGTGTAACTATAACTTATAATTTTTGTGTCACCCTGTAAGACTTAAAAGAGCAGGAGAATGAGTATAAGCACACTCCAGCAGGATTTTCCTAGAATAGGCCTTCAGTAAAGGTTTGTTTAAATGTACTGAGGAAAAAGCCTTTCAAATTTATACAGATTCCTTCCTCTGTCACCCATCACTTTTATTGTGCTAAGAACCAACAATGCAAACAGTGAAGAAAAACAATGGCAAGCTACTGCTAGATGAAGTTTGACCTGATTTCATAGATAACACAAGGATACTGTTTACCACCAAAAGGAGATAAAAGCAGTTTAATTCACCTTTAATTCATGTATTTGTTCTCTCGTTATAGCAGAACATTTGCTGTGCAACCACTTTGTGTCAGCCTTCATACTAGACACTGGTGATATACAGAAATTTTTTAAAAATTGTTACTGACCTTGAAGAGTTCACATTCTAGTAAAAACACACATCTAAAGCAAATTGTATTGCAAATTATACCCACAGTTAGAAGGATAACTGATAGCCCAGTTTCAGCGTTAAAAAGGAAGTGAATTTGGTGTGAGCCTTGCACAGAGAGATGTTCAGTGAGTGGAGGCAGAATAACACAGTCAGAAGCAAATGCTTCAGTGGTAGACTTGCATATGAATCTCACTCCAGTATACTGAACATTGGTAAGAGTTATATTAAATGAATATAAATTACTGTCTTTATACCACATAAAACCTAAATAGAGAGAGGCAGAAGAGGTGGGAAGGGTTTATAGTTAAAGAAAACATGGCAGCAGTAATTCTTTCTCTAGAACAGTGATGGATATCAAATTTGAGTTTCAAATATCTAGATCAGGCGTCCCCAAACTATGGCCCATGGTCCGCATGCGGCCCCCTGAGGCCATTTATCCGGCCCCCCGCCACACTTCAGGAAGGGGCACCTCTTTCATTGGTGGTCAGTGAGAGGAACACAGTATGTGGCGGCCCTCCAACGGTCTGAGGGACAGTGAACTGGCCCTCTGTGTAAAAAGTTTGGGGATGCCTGATCTAGATGTAACCCAGACTTTAGAATATATCATTGAA